ATATATATATATATATATATAAACTTATTTATTAGTTACAGTAGTTTGAAGATTTGAATAACTGCCATAGTAAAGTTAGATAAGATTGGTTTGTTGCTAATATCTCAATATATTCTGGAACATTCTGATATGTTAGTATGTATTATGCATTCACTTTCCTAAACTCAAACCATCTTTCCTCACTGTCCCCAATATACCCACTTTCTCTGCTTAACTCTATTCAACTTTCATAGCACAGTTTAAAGACTTCTCCCCTGTGGAAAACTTCTCTGACCTCCCACTCCCCTATGAGGTTCAGTCCTCTGGATATGTTCTTCCATAACCCTCATCAGATTCCATCATAGCACTATTTTTTAATATTGTAGTTGTCCTAGAGCCACTGAGCTTTTTGAATTTAGAGACCTTGTATCTCTACTTGCCATTACATCCCAAGAACAAGTATACAATGATTATTTGTTAAAGACAGGGAGGAGATAAATGAACTCAAAAGACTGGTTTCGCTTGGAAGCAAATGAAGAAGTACCTCAACTGCTTCATCCTTACTAATGATAAGTATTGTTGATTGACCTCTTATCATGTCAGATTTTTTTGGCAATTCATATTTATCTTTCCCACAGTCTTACTAGGAAGACTGCATACAAGACTGAAATTAATTGAAATTAAACTAAGAGGGGTAAACATAGGATTTGAATATTACTACTTACCAAGACATAACAAACATATTAGAAATGCCTATTGCTGTCTTAGAGATGGCATAGTCATCACATGGCATAGTTAACAGGATGTAGTCAGACAGAGAGACAAAGGAAGTGACTATGCCTGAAAACTTCCTTACTAATTTGAAAATAACTTCCCTCTCCATGATATAAAGTGTTTATGTTAGATATAAAGATAATTTCTGAGCATATGAATTTTTTCCTCAGCCAGCTAGACAGCTTAGCAAAAGCCTTATGACTGGAATACTTAAGCAGAGAGATTCAGAGATTCTGATACAGCTGCACTTCATCTAACTTACTGCAGTTAATTTTTGATAAGAAAGCTTACACTAAATGGCTTTAAATCAATAATCAAGGCACTCTGATTGTTAGTAAGCATCAACCATTTACATTTTTGACCCTTACATAATTTTAACATTGCATTAAAAGTTATATTATTTTTCCCAAGGTCATAGATGCCCAAATTTTGAAACGTTGACTATTCACATGATCACAAGAACCGTTATCTTTCTCAGTTTTTTACCCATTGCTTATAAATGTCTCTAATACTGTAGTAGTTTGTTAAGGGCATATGCTAAATGAGCATTTGTATTTATAACTAGCGTAGAAGCTTTGCTCTTTGATAAGTAAGGACAGCAGTGGCAGTCATTTAAAAGGCTTACTTTTCTCCACAATAAATTGTAGCATCTGCTTCCATTTCCAAATAAATTGTTACTTTAGATATAACACTTTATTTGGAAATATACCTAAATTGATTCACTTTTCATTTACCGTATTCACCTGAGTGTTAATTACATCAGTGATATTATAGAAAGGTAACATGTTTTCCCATAATTCATCCATGTACTATTGATGCTAATAATTATTTTGCCAGAGAATGTCTACTTATTGCAAGCCACACCAAAGATGATGGCAGGAAGGAGAGAGAATGTTTCTTGAGGGCCTAGGGTGGACTGAGAACCATACGCTGTTCCCCTTGATCTTCAAAA